TATTGTGTGAAAAGGTATTGAGCTGTATGTGCGGTAAGTGTTGCTTAGTATAGTAGCTGTTATCACAATGCTGAATGTCACTCACTCAGCCTTCCTGCTTTATTTTGAAAAGCTGGTTCTGTCTTGTCATATTAAGGATAGGCAAGGAAATCGAGTAGATGTTATGTAACCTATACATGAGGTATATACAGCAGTAAGAGTATCAGACTGTTGTCAGATCTGGAAGTAGGAGTTGATGGAGAGTATGGGTGACAGGAGACCGGAAACATGTTGCAGTGTTTGAAGTGATCAAATGTAAACAACAGCAACTTGTATTTGTATGGTGCTCTTCACGTGGGGTAGTGTCCCAGAGCACGTGAGAGTCGTGGAGGCTGACCCCGAGCTAGGGGGACAGGGAGGGGGGAGCTGACCGTAAGCACATTCAAGAAGGAAGTTCTTTCAGAGGGATTTGAAAGTAGAGGCAACAACTTGCATTTTTTCCCACACCTCTCACGCAGGATCGCGTCTTGGAGCGCTTGAAACATCGGATAGGGATTCCTTTTGCACAAAAAAAAATCCACAATGTAATTTCATCAAAAACATGAAATGAATATGGTCTGTGGCAGTTATACAAATACTGATCTAGTCCCTGCATAACTGATACCAACTTGATTCCTCCCAAGCATGCTGTGGATAAGACTGTATTTTGTGCTTCTCTTTAGCATCTAAAAAATATTAAACGTGCATTTTAGCATAATTCTAACTTCTGCTATTTTGTCATTGAGTTATTGGAACCGTGAGGACCAACCAACAAATACTTTAGTTCCAATAGCTGTTTTTCAGAGTTGTACCCTAAAGCACACTGGAATCAGTCGTGGCTCACCTGACCCATTAAATGAGAGAGCATCATGCATTACTTCAGCGAGAAATCCTGTCTGTTTTTAGATTTGTCATAAGCTTTCTGTGTCAACATAGACGAGAAGAAAAACTGCAAATGATTTGAAATCCGAAAATAACACCTTTGCTGAAAATACACAGCAGATTACTCACAATCTGAAGGAGAAAGAGACACAAAATGTTGAGGGTGCGTCAGAAGCTAATTGGCCCTCTGTGGATTTCAAGCATTATTTTTTATCAGGTTCAGCAGTGGGCCTGTTACTGCTCGCCACCAGTTCTGCTCATACTTTCGCCTCATACAAAAATACAGTCAATTCGCTCCGTGAAGTGCTTTGAGATGTCTCGAAGATACATAAGAATTAGGAGCAGGGATAGGCCATTCGGCCCCTCTAGCCTGCCCCGCCATTCAATAAGATCATGGCTGATCTATCCTAACTCCACCAACCCGCCTTATCCCCATATCCCTTAATCCCTTTATCCACAAGAAATCTACCAATCTCAGTGTTGAGTATGTTCAAGGACTGAGCATCTTCAGCCTTTTGGGGTAGAGAACTCCATAAATTCACTACCCTCTGAGTGAAGAAGTTTTTCCTCAACTCAGTGCGAAAGGGCTTACTTATCCTTAATTTTAAGACTGTGACTCCTGGTTATAGTTTCTCCAACCGGGGAAAAAAGTCTCCCACTATCTATTCTGTCGTGCCCCTTAATAATCTTATAGGTAAGATGTGATAAGGCGCTATATCAAATGCAAGAATTATCATTAATATTATACTATTTCAGTTCTTTTCCACTGTCTGTATCAGTAACTCGCCAAATATATTCACCAATCACCACACTTTAACCAATAATTAAAAACCCAATCGGGAAAAAGTTTTTTTTTTTAAAAAAGTTATTGTTGACCGCCACTCGAACAAGGTATTGGAGCAGGAGTCTCCAACCAGTGGATTTTAATCAACCAGTCGATTTCCAAGGCTTCAAAAGTCAATCTCGCAAGTTTTACTTATTGTTTTGTATTTACCGCTGTTTAAACAACAACTTTTTTTTATTCTGAGATGCACAGAATACTGTGTGCATCTGACTTTGTTTTCAATCGGACAAAATTTGCAGTTCTATCGTTCCTTTTTCCGGTCTTTATTAATCATGCACAAGAAAGGTCCCCTAGGTTTAGGCTTTTGTTTCTGCAGTAAGATTCTAGGCTCCATGAGTTTTGTTTGATTTCTCTTGGAAAGTGTTGCGTGAGTAGCTTTGACGTTGACATTTTTATTCGCAAATATCATTAGAAATGAACAAGATAACTGGGCCATCTAAAGAGAAACTTTTTTTTGCTCACTGCACTGCAGGATAAGTGGGTATGTCTTGTAAATATATCAACAAGCCATATAAATTTCAACAAGTAAAACTGGTAATTTGGAAAGACATCACACTACAATGCACAAAAATTTTAAAGATGATTTTCCATTAAATAGCTCTCTTTGAAAGAAAGTAAGTGAAATGAAAAGAGCAGCTTTGAAGGCGCAGCAATCTGTTTTTAACAAACCAGAAAAGATAAGGCCAGAACTGAAGCTTCATTCAGAGTGAGTCATATACTCGCAAAACCCAAAAAATGTTTTCTGACTGTAAATGGTAAAAGAGACAATGATTATGCTGCTGAATCTTCATTAAAAGACTTTAAAAATAAAGAAGAAATTAGGACTGCAATTCCGAGCTCATACATGTGGAATCATTATCAAAGACGCGATTTGGATCAATGTGAGTACTTTTTATTGCAGTTCGACGAATCGACCAACATAACCGTCACTCCACAGCTAATTATATTTGTTAAGGTGGCATTTCAAGATGCTACCACACATTTTAACAATTTTACAGTTGATAGGTAGAACAAGAGGAGATGACATAGGAGACAACGAGTTTAAAAGATATCCGGTGGAGAACAAGGTTCCAATCTGGAAACTTGTGTCAGTCACGACAGATGAAGCACCAGCCACGATTGGAATAAGATTCCCCTCTTTGTTAATTATCGGATGTGCGCTGGTGAATAATAATCCTTGCACTTGGTGTAGGGCGTTATCATGTCGTTGAGACATCTCAAAATGCTTCGCAGAATATAATTGACTATATTTTGTGGGCAAATAAAGCAAGTCATTAACTTCACAGAAGTAATGAAAGTCACAGAGAAAATTGTTAACTCAACACGAGAAAGAGCACTACACCATCACCTTGTTTAAACGTTTACTTGATGAACCTGAAGCAGCTTTACGGCGAATTGCTCCTCCTCACTGAGGCGAGGTGTTTAAGCCGAGGCAAGTGAGTCTTGCAAAGATTTTTGGAATCTCTTGCCCCTGAAATTGAAACGCTTTTGCAATCTAGAAACGAGAGCAATGAAGGGCTGAAGGACAATAATAAGTGGCTCCTTTATTTGGGTTTTCTCACTGACATTACCACCCAATTGAACTGTGAGTTGCAGGGAAAAGACAGAGACATCTCGCATGTCATCAGCACAGTGAACGCATTCAAAATGAGGCTGAGTTTGTGGATTCCCCAAATGAACAATAAAGTTTTGCTGCATTTCCCAAATATGGAGGAAAAAGAATTGGCAAGATTTTCTGACAAACAAAGCTACGTTCACCCACAACCTTTCTCTGAACCTCTGAGTATGCTTGTAAATGAATTCAGCGGGCGATTTCGAGACTTCCGGTTGATAGAGCCAAGTGTCTTGTTTGGTGAAAATCCATTTCTCCAGGTAGACATTAGTGAGTTGGCTGTGAAATTTCAGCATATGTTAAATGACCAAAGTCGTGAAGTGAAAATGGAAATCATTTTGCAAAGTGACATTCTCTTAAAAGCTAGGTCTAGAGACTGACTTTTGGGGATTTGTTCACAGAGAAAAGTACTCTTCTGTTGCCCTTTTCTCTGAAGGTTAAAGCTTACTTTAGTTCCCCCTATCTATCCACATGAATGCTTTCTCTCAAATGAAAATCATTAAATCCTAATAGCGCACCTAAATGGAAGATAGCTAGAAGACAGTGTCAGATTGTCTGTTTCACATTCCAGACCAAACTTTGAGAAAATGGCAAAAAAATGTTCAATGTCAGGCATCACACAAACACTTTATTTTTACCCACTAAGTAAAAGAAACATTTTCTCTACGTGTGTGTGTGTATATATATATAATATAATATGCATTAGGTGTGCATTATAACAGACCTTCAAGTATAATCCTTTACTTTTTGCTAACATTTTTAATAGTGGTAGATCTTTTGACTTGTGGAAATACAAAAGTAAATCCTTCTCCTAAAAAGGTTGGAAACCTCTGTATTAAAGATTGCCAATGGAACTGTACCATAGCAGAAAGAAAAAGGAATCCAGCTACTCAATGAGGAGAATTTTGTGGTTTACAAAGAACAAAAAGTGAGCAACTCGACAATCTGGTTGTGAGCGAAGCTGAGGATCTAATTTTTCATTGCCTAGAGTGATTGTGATCGAGGGTACCACTGAATGTGTACAGGGAACTAGGGGTCTGGAATTGTAGAGAGAAAGATTGACTTGGAACACAGAGAAGAGAGCAAGTGAAGCAGCAGAGATCTTATAACACTCTAGCAAGGCGTATGACTTGCTTTTTCTGCGGGAAAGGGAAACTCATAACTCTACATAATATTACTTTCTCCGAGGCTCGGTTAGGTAATTCTCCTCTGATCAATAATTTTGTTGGATTCATGATTCAATATTGTGTGATTGTTACTGGTTTAAGTCATGAGTGTTGTACGCTGGAAAGTTGTGCTGTTTCTCTTTTTTAATTATCTACTTTTTTTTAGAAACTACATTAACCTTTGTGTCTGGAGACTTTTGTGTTTAGTTGTGTGTAAGCTGCTGGTGTGGTAATAATAATCCTTGCATTTGAGATAGCACCTTATCACATCATTGAGACGTCTCAAAGCGCTTCTCAGAATATACTGTAAATTGAATTGACTTTATATTTTGTGGGTGAAAAATAATTAAGTACAGGAAATAAGAACCAGCTTTTCAGTCAAAGTCCTATGTTTTTCCCACGCAAGTTCATCACAGAGCTCTTAACTTGTATATGTAGTGTACTTTACAATTAATCTTGTTTTTCTTCTTGCCTTTAGTCCAAACGGCTCAGTGTTGGCCTGCATCGAACAAGTTAAAACATATCTACTTACCGATGGAACGTGCAAGTGTGGCCTGGAATGTCCTCTCATTCTTCCAAAGGTAATGTGATAAAGATATTCCACATAAAAATATGAAATGGCAGGAATGTGAAAAGGCCATTCATTACCCTGTAGCTCATCCTATACTTTTAGCACACAGCATGACAAACTATTTTGAATAACTTAATATTTTATGCCTTGGTTATCAGATTATTCTAAACTTGCATGACTATTCCCATATCTTAACTGTTTTCTTGGTCTGATGTTCAGTAACTCATCAAATGTGTTTGTTGTGTAGTAATAATTGTAAGGCAGTAAGGTCTACAGTATTTAACTGTTCATGTCTTATGAAATGAATTGGTTCATTGGTACAGTAGGGTGTCAACTCAATCCATGTGGACCTTAGCCTGTGCTATGTTATATGTATTGGTTCACATAATTTGTCAGATTGCATTCAGTGTGGCATCGTTAAATATCTAGTTACTGGGCTCCACTGATTATAAATGGAAGTACAGTAGAAACCCGGTTTGCAGTCACCTCGGTAATCCGGCCACCTCACAATTGCGGGCACACTTTCACAGTCTCTCTCGTGGTCTATACTAAAAGATTGACTGTTGTCGGCTTCAGTAAACCGGCCACCTCACTATTCAGGACAACGGTAGTTGATTGCGGCCGCTACAAGCATCCTCCTCTGGTTCAAACGCGGTACAAACACCCCCCACCCCCCCCCGCTACTAACCTGTACCCGGTGCGCTAGACCTCAGGCCTCTCGTGCTGTTTGCTTGACGCTGCTACTGTGGGTGGAGCGGCTTCGGTGGCGCTTGCGCGACGCGGGGAGTGTTGGGATCGCGGGAGCGGCGGGAGCGAGAAATCGACTTGGCCCGGCTCGGTGCCTGCCACCTAACCTGAGCTCCTGCAGCCAATTCTTGGTAAGTGCTGTAAACGTTGCCACCACGGAAGGAGTTGAATGAGGGATGGGAGGAACGTCTAGCGGAGGAGTTTCTACCAGGGACACTGAGGAACAGGACACACGGGAGAAGGAACAAGAAGAGCAACCGACAACATCAAAGAGCCCTCTCGCTTACGCTGATGCACTGGGTTTGTTGGGACAAGTGAAGGACTTTTGCCTCGATCATGGACTCGACTCGTGGCAGACTTTGGCTCATGCTGAGGGTCAGCTGCTGGCCAAGGCAGTGCAGGTTAAATCAGCAGCCGGGTAAACAACGCTGGACTCTTTCTTCAAGACATGAACATTTTGTGTGATTTTTAACTTCTCATGTGAATTTTTAATAATGAAACCCAAGATCTGTTTTAAATGTGACAATGCCTTTATTTTAATGAGATTGCAAAGTATGGTTGTTGGATGTTCATCACCCTTTACCCATTACCAATGCCCTTAACATTACATCAGTGACCTGAATCATCCAACCTGTTTCAATAATCAGGTCACCTCACTAAGTGGGTCACTTTTGCCCAGTCACTTGAGTGACCGGATTAGTGAGGTTCTACTGTATATTATTCTAACACTTCTGATGGAGGGAACCACTCACACACACGCATGCGAGTATTTTGTCACGTTTCCTATGAAATATAATTGTTTTCATTTATTTCTGAGCAAATTAAAGATCTGTAATAAGCAGAGAAATATATTTTGGTGGTCTTGTGCAATCAGTTCAATTACATTAGACTGTTCAGTTCCCAACCTCTACAAGGATATGCTCCCCTCCCCACTTCCAGATATCGAGTTTGAAGATGGATGATCAATTACACCCAGAATCCAATTTGAGAAGGGAGGAAACGAACTGTAAATAGACCTGACCATCTGACTCTCTTTACCAGGGAGACTAATCTCATCGAGAAGCCGAATTCCAAAATGCTGTACAGCATGACAAATCCATTATAACTCATTGAGGCTCCATTACACTTATCTCAGTCATGGGAGGGAGAGGAGGGGAAGAGGACAATTACCTAGAGACACCACCTTTTTAACATTCGTATTATCACGTACACTTTTTATTGGTTGAAATGTTAAGGACTGCCTTATTCTGAACCACATTCTTAGTTTTTATTTTTACCTTAATTGCCAGTTACTGCCTTTCCTGATGCCTATACGCAGGCTTCCAGAAGCGACCAATTTGTTTTAATTTCCTGATTCACTGGAAGGCCTATCCTACTAATGAGCCTAATTCTTTAAGACACAAAAGATACTTTAAGTTCTAGTTCTTCAGAACGGGGAAGAAACTGAGGTTAGGTATAGCATGTTCCCAGGAAAGATGCACTTGTTAAATAAAGTTGCAGATTGATGAGAGGAAATCAAGGTCCTCCCACAGTTCACACAATCTCAACAGAAATTGCAACCTACTCACCTTTACGTTCTCTGGTTAAATCAGCGTTCCCCAGTACTTGCACTGGAAGTTGGTGGAAGTAACAGATCGTGTACGTTATTCATTGCCAATATTTGTTGCAACTGCATCCATCTTTGGTTCAGTCCCAAATTTCCAATGCCACATTTCAGCCACCTTGTAACTCCACCAGAGCAAGAAGTCTTCCAACTGAAGAGCCTCCTCATGAAGGCCTTCGGAAGGATTTCTAAGCACTGCCTGAGGTTTTCCACATTGCATTGAATACTCGTGCGTAAATGGCTTTCTCCTTTCACTTCCAGTGTGATCTCAATTTAAAAAAAAGTTACTTCTGATGCATGCAGCATTCGGAGGCTGAAGCAACACTGGAGATTTTCAGAAACAATCAATAAAGCATGGATATGGCTTTTAAAATGATAACCTTTCCAATTTTAGCATCCTAGCTACTCTTTATAAGAAGCATGCACGCTCCGTTGTACAAGAACTTGATCTTTTTTCTCAATTCAAGTTGACAGACATCTGTTTGGCTCGAGCAGGAATCAGTTAACATCTGTAATGATTAAGGATATGGACAAATAACACAACACTTATAAGATTCATAACCGGATGTTGAAGGGTCTTCAATCTGTTGCCCTGGGCTTCAATCTATCCTACCATATTCCTGGAGTCCTGTAGCTCAGTGTTGAGTCCAGTAGCTCAGTGGTTAGAGCACTTGCCTCGCAAGCAAGAGACCTGGGTTTGATTCCCTGCAGGACGAAACCTTGGGCAAATTTCCTTACTCCACATGCCTGATAATAATACCTCAAGAACAAAAACAATAATAATCTGGTCACTCAATCCACGACTATTTATGGGACACTGCTGGGCACAATTGGCTGCCACGTTTTACCCACAAGTATACAGTCAATTTACAGTATATTTACAGTATATTCTGTGAACGCAAGGATCATTATTACATTCATCCTGTCAAAATCCATTTACAGAGATGGAAGAAAATATGTAGTTCAATCTCCCCCTCTTCTATCACAACCAGCAGAGTCTCCAATTGACAGAATGAGTCTTTATGAAGATAAAATTGGACAAAAGATTTTCATACCCTCCCTGATTGAAACAATTTTGATTGACTTTGAAGGCTTACAGTACTAAATTGAAGCGTTCAACTACGTCAAGTTGTCTATATATGTCATGTAGGCAACTCTACATGACATATATATAAGCCTCTAAATGAGATACTCAAAGCTACCTAGTATACTGTATTTACAAATATTACTATGTCTGACGTTTTAACCTCGTATGTTGAGAGTTTATGTGCTTACATTAATTACTTGCTATCTGCTGAAAGGAGAAAATCCAACAACAGCATCCTACATGATCCAGATTGAAGGGTACTTTGAAAGCTATTGATTTGTCTGTTCCTCTGACTTGAGCAAACTGATTTCAGGACTTTCTGAATCCATAGGTTAATGTGATCTTAAGAATTTTTTAAACAAATTATTACTTTATTGGCTCTCGTTTCAGCAGGTGGTATTCACGCTTTTGACAGTGTATCTATGCAGTTTATAAAACAGCATCTGCTTTCCTTGCTGAAACTTGCATCCCAGCTCCAGTTGCCTTGGGAAACTATAGTGTTGAAGTGTATTTGTCATGTCAGGTTTCTTCCATTGAAAAGAAATAGCACTTTGTTGATGTGCGCAGAGCTTTAGGTTTCTATTTATAGTGACAAAGCCATCATTAAATAGAGATTAGTGAATTGGATAGTAGTGTGTGTCTCCTTGCATTATTTTCTGGCAAGGCACCAGCTTATTTTGTCCATGACTACTTTTTTGGTTGACAGGATTTAGATTTTTCTTGAAGCTCTGTGTAAAGACAGCAACTCCAAGCCATTTGCTTCTTTGTCCAAGTATTGCTGCTCTGTTTGTTTAGGCAAGGCAGGACATCAGTACTTTGATGGTACTCTCTTACTAATAATAATGATAATGGTGATAATAATGGTAATAATCCTTAATTTTGATGTAGCACCTTTCACATTAGGGGGCCCTCTCGAAGAGGATATAATATAAAGTGTAATGACTGTGCATTTTGTAGGCGTACCCACATTAACCTGAGCATTGAGGTCTTCAGAATACCACCGTCAATTCAAGTTCAAGTGTAGATTAATCCTGAATGATCTCGCCCACAATCGTCAGGTAAATCTACTGGTGTCATTCTAAACCAGGTCTTTTGTGTCACAGACTGCGGTAGATTGCAGAGCATCATAAACTACTTAAAGGGATAGTGCACATCTAATTATTTTTAACCCCCTCTGTGAATGATGGCAAAACTTTCGTTCATATTACAAATGTCTAGAAAACCCCTAACAATATTGTCCTGTTTTTAGGTGTTCAACTTTGATCCAGGAGCACCTGTCAAACAAAGAACTGCAGAGGATGTCAAAGCTGATGAAGATTTGACAAAACTTTGTATCCATAAAAGAAAAATCATTGCAGTAGCTACACTACATAAAAGTTTTGAGATACCACATCCTTCCCTGGTCCTAACCAGTCCAGGCGGCGGAACAAGTAAGTTGACAAGAAATAAGATGTATATTGCCCGTTGTGTTTTAGGACTAAACCTGAATTAAACGATAATATGAATTGGTATTGTCTTGTTGCCTGTTGTTCAGGGTTTTTTTTTGTGCTGTTCATTTCCTTTTACGCTGTGGTTCTAATAGTATTTACTTAACCTTCTACCAACAGTGTTTTAACATTGCTTGCCTAATTTTCATATTAGAGAGCAATATACATTATCCCTGAACTTCTATTTTTAGTCCCAAAGATAAAATATTCATGGCTTATACCAAACATAAAATTTAGATTGAAGGTTTTAAAAGCCATTTTGTTGGTTATATAACCTTCAGAGGGGACAGTGCCTAATAGCTCAGCTATTCATTTTGATTCAAAACAGGTTAAGTTGATGTTGCCCTGAATCAACGCATGTTTAGTTTGTCCAGACGTGCAGAATTTTATTGCAGTAAGATTTAATAGTCCAGTTTTTCCAAGTTCTGAATCCTCGTGCCACCTGATGCTCATTAATGGGATTTGGGGGTTAATGGTCAACCATTCTCTGCCAGAATATTTAAGTGGACCGACCACCTGTCCACAAAGTGTTTCACAGGAAATGATGGAAAAATACAAAATGATTGTAATTTGTTTGTCTTCCTCAATCAGTTGGTATCACTCTCACCTCTGAGTCAGAAGGTTGTGGGTTCAAGCCACAAGTCGAGCCTTGGAACCCATGTAGTTTATGCTGACAATCCCAGCCAAGTGCTGAATTGTCAGAGATGCCATACTTCGGTTGAGACGTTAAACTGAGGTCCCACCTGCCTGTCCAGGTGAACATTGAAGCTCCCATAGCACTTTTGGAAAACCACAGGGAGTTTCTCCCAGTGCCCTGGCCAACAAATCCTCCAAATACAATTAGTCATTCACTCGTTGTCCAGCAATTAAAGATCACCATTATTATGGATGTTTGTGGGCCATTGCTCCGTGCAAATTGGGTGCTGTGTTCACCCAGACCACTCTACCGTACATCCTGTGCAGGGCTTTGAGGTGTCTTGATGACTTGATAAGACACTATTATTGCACAGGGTATTTATTATTAATTCTATGGACATTTAACATAGAAAAATTGAAAATTGTCGTCATTATTGTTATTGTTGTAAATCAGTGACAGAGGTTGCTGTGGGAATGTTGAGTCCTACCATTCTGGCCAAAGGATTTGTGTCGGGGAAAATAGCTTGAGATATTCCAATAAATGAAACTATGGAAGTCTCTTCCTCAATCTCTTCGTCTTGCCGCCTCTTCCCCTTTTTCAGATTATGCCTCTTCAGCTGGGCTTACAGTCAGCTCCTCCCTTCCCCTACCTCAGCAAACCCCAATCTTATTTGTTTTCCCCTTAGTTAGGAACCATTAACCAGCAATCAAACGTGGCCAGATATTATGCCACCCGGATCCTATCACAGCTTTAGATGCACTGCAGCCAACTGCGGCCCCTTGACTCTGGGTATGGCTGGTATTCATTTACTCTTTTCTTCTTCTAGGCGGAGCTCCAATGGTACAGTCACGAGCAGCAACTCCAAGAGCAATGAGGAATAAATTGCAAGAAGTAGTGCCGAATTCTGCAGTGCCAGACTATAATAAGAATCCATATTTGCCTAAGTTAATGATGGGTGGCCCGAATGCTATGGTTCGGCTTTACCAACAGGAGCTGTGTGCAAGCCCCCAGCAAGAGCTGCATACTGGTTATTCTAGACAGAGACTGGGTAGCAGTGACCATGGGCAGAAGTCTCCTTATCGTGGAAATCACGGTGGTCTATCTAGTCCAGGATCTCAGATCTATGGAGATGGTTCTATATCCCCCAGGACCGATACAATGGGAAGTCCAGATGTGTTTACAAGGAATAACCCTGGCTTTCATGCTGGGCCAAACTCCAGTCCCATCCACATAAATCGAATTCCCCTTTCCCCACCCACAGTCCTGATGCAGAATTCTTCAACCCAGTCGTCGTGTGCTATGGCTGGTAGGACTTCTATACCTCTTTCACCAACAATGACTACAAAGAGCCCAGTCATGAAGAAACCATCTTGTAACTATTCGTCAAACATGGATATGCCACGAATTATGTTTCACAAACTTTCCCAAGGACCCCCAGCATCATGTGCTCTCCAGAAAAAGCCATTGCCATCAGAGAAGGATCCATTAGGTATTCTTGACCCCATACCTAGCAAAACGAACCCGGTATTTATGAACGCATCGAATTTCCAGACAACCATGCACTCTCAGGTACCTATGATGAATGTAAGCATGCCTCCTGCTGTTGTCCCATTGCCAAGCAATCTACCATTGCCAACAGTCAAGCCTGGCCCTGTTAGCCATGGAACCCATGTACCAAGGGTTCAGCATTCAACTTCCACATCTGTGTCTCCAACTCCGGTCACCTCCCCTGTGCACATGATGGGACCCGTCATTGGGAGAATCGAGGTCTCCCCACAAAGATCAAGGTCATCTTCCACATCGTCTGATCACGGAAACTTAATGATGCCCCCTGCAGGTCTCCAGTCAGGCTGTGGTGGAATGAAGGTCCCTCCAAGGTCACCAAGGTCATCTATGGGTTCTCCACGACCATCCATGCCATCGAGTCCATCTAACAAGCCCGATGGACTTCTTCATCAATACAAAGATAACCCTAATCCTTTGCTGGTCGGAATGAGTAATGTTTTAAATCCTCAAAATAATCCTTTGTTTCCGTCTGTATCCGTTGGAAATGTACAACAACAAAAGAGTCCGCCAGGTTTGCTGGGAATGCCCTTGAATCAGATTTTAAACCAGCATAACGCTGCTTCATTTCCAGCAAGCAGTTTACTTTCAGCAGCAGCCAAAGCACAGCTAGCTAATCAAAATAAACTGACTGGTAGCAACAATGGTGGTGGAGTTGGCAGTGGTGGCAATAGTGAAGGACACAGCACTTTAAATACTATGTTTCCTCCTACTGCCAACATGCTTCTGTCAATTAACGAAGGTCAGAGTGGACGGGCAGCATTGAGAGATAAGCTAATGGCACAGCAGAAGGACCCTTTACGGAAAAGGAAGCAAGCGACCCCAACAGTATTGAGTATGCTTAAACAGTCTCAGATGGGCAGCTCAGGAGTCCCAAAGTCTGTACCTGACCCTTTAAGAAAGCAAGGGCAAAGTTCATCCTTAACTATGAATAACACCATGTCTCAGTTACTTCAATCCATGAGTTCACAGAGTTCTCAAATCAGTGGCAATAGTACTGGTTGTGGTAATTCCCCAACAGGTATTCCTTGTTCCTCCAACCAACTTAACTTTGCAGACACCAATCTGAACTCAGGTTCCGTTCGCAACCTATCAGTTCAAACTTTGACCCGAGGGGAAGGTATCTCTTGCCAAAATACAAGCACTAACTTAATCCAGAATTGCCAGGGCCCAAACAGTCAATTTGTTGAGTTAGTGGGACAGCTACAAACTAGTGGCAGTTGTGGGCTGCTCCACCAGTCTGCACTGACTTTGGGGAATAGCTTGCATTCCAACCCGTCTCATTCAAGGATTACAACATCTTCAGCAGTAATGGTACCAAACAGCAGTGGCAGCATTTGTAGCCAAACCAGTACTGAAGCAGGTATGGTTTTACACTAATGTACTTATTGCCAATCTCTTTGGCATAAAGCTGTATTTAAAACTTATATGAAAAAGTACATTTTGTTCCCTAGGAAAAGAGGGCAAATGTGTGCGGGTCTTTTTTTTTTGCTCAAGTGTTATGGTGCACAATGTCCCCACAATCTTTCATTTCTGTTCAGTATTGATTGTGTTTTGTTCCGTTGTAACGTTGCGCCAGTGGTTGCAGAATCAGTCCGTTATTGCCGATTGGATTTCAGTGCATTATCTTTGCAAAGATTTTATTTAATCCCACTTTGGAGCTTTTAGCCAAGGTTGCAGTATATTTTATTTGAAAAAATATTTCCCATGCAAATTTAAATATACATTTGTTCCAATACTCCAGTCCTTTCGATGCTGTGATGCCAATACAATATTTCTTTTTCCAGAAAGTCTTCAGATAGATTTTGGAAAAGGGTGTGTCAGATATTCTCATCTTTTGAGTTTTCATACTCTGATTAGCCAATGTATTAAAAAATAAGTACTGTTACAGAACCCGATGTTTAAAAATGTATATGGACCCGTAGAGGGATATCTCTTCTTGAAGGGAGAAAGCAGAAGTAAATAATCTATTGAGATAAATGCACATTTGAATTTCATTGCGGTGTTGAACAAAAATGTTTTTAATTAGGAAGTTAGATTTTGTATAAATTATATAAACCTTCATACTGCAAAAGAAAGATCAGTAAGACATTCACGTGAAAGAATTGGTCTGGGATGATGCATCTATTAAAATATAATCCTAAAACATGTTTTCAAACTATAATTGATGATTTGGATCATCAAGCAAATTTTCTAATACATGGAGGAAACGTAAAATATGAACAGGAATTCCATCTTGTTAAAAAAAGCAAAGATAAATAATTACATTCAAGCTAAATGCTAAACTTACTTAGAATTGTAAACCATGTGTTTTTGTGTTGGGAAGTCCACTTTATAAGCTGCGTTTCAGCCACTTTGTTTTGTGGCTGTGAATGTAAATTGCACAATTTGAGGCTGAAGAGAATTGTATCTTAGACTAAGCCAAAATAATATAGGATATTTTTTCCCATTCACAGTACACAGGCTAGTTAGAATGTAATGCTGGAAGAAATCTAACATAGTGAAACTATAGAGAACATCGCATATTACAGTTGCCACTGTTTTTGTAGCCCAAGACTTGTGAAAAATAGTTGCACCAATGGGTTGGGAGGGAGGGAGGGATTTTAAAAATGTGGACTTTATTCAATAACTGTTGCTTGCTTTGTTTAATTAACTAAATAATGAATGGATAGGAGATGTAGCATTTTCTGTGTGGCAGAATTATTAGCCGATACTTTTCCTGTGTGTCGGTGCTCTTTGCTTTGTAACGTCTTTCCCCTATCTTCTTGCCTTACCTTCACGCTTTCCTCTGTCAGGAGGGCGGGATGGTCTATTCCATGGACATCTTCACAGACGTCAACGGTGTGCCAGGGTCAGCCTGTCAGGAGGTATGCTTGAGCTGTTTAGGAACAGAACCCATCTTCTCCCTCCCATATCAGATAAATCCTTCCACATAGTTAAAATAAAAGTGTTTTTTTTAAAAAAAAACTTTAATTTCCACGTACAAGACACATGGCCCGAGCCATTTATAAACTTCTGGGATTCAACCAATCTTGAAAGGGTTTCACTGTTGAGTACTTTAGCTTAATTACGTGGGAAGAATTCATCCTTTTATCATCCTTTTCATTTTTCTTCTGTCTATTTCTGTTGGTTTCCTAAATATGTTTCACCTGAACAACTACATTTGGTGATGGTTTAAGTTAGTAGATTTATCCATTCATGGGGCCTAGGTTTGAATCTCACCCTTGAGTGATGTGATTGAAGATTCTTTCGATTGATTTCTTTGAAGAGCAAATTAAATAGACTTCTGTTAGGAAATAATAATGTCAGGATACAATATATACATTGGGACACATCATGTCATGCGACTGCTAGGATGGTGAAAGGCGACCTGGATGGACAACAACAACAAAATTACATTTGTAAAGTGCCTTTCACGTCGGGAGGACATCCCAAGGCACTGGACAGACAGAGTTTCGGACCCGAGCTCGGGGTCGGGGTGGAAGGCAGGAGGGGAAGCAGGGAGATCGAAAGCACGGTTGAAGAGGAGGGTCTTGAGCTGGGTCTTAAAGATGGCAAGGGAGGGAACGAGGCAGAGGGACTGCGTGATGGAGTTCCAGAGGGTGGGGGCAGTGTGGCGGAAGGCCCGCCCGCCATAGTAGAGCGAGCAAGGCGGGAGACGTGAAGCAGGCGGGAGACGTGAAGCAGGCTGGAGCCTGCTGAGCGGTGGATGCGAACAGGGTGGTAGGGAGTTAGGAAGTCAGAAAGGTAGGGGGGAGCAAGTCTCTGGAGGGCTTTGAAGGTGAGGACCAGGTTCTTGAACTGTATCCTCTGTGATGGGAAGTCAGTGGAGTTGGGCGAGGATGGGGGTGATAGTGTCGTGGAGCCTAGTGCAGGAGAGGACACAGGCTGCAGAGTTCTGGATGATCTGCAGCCTGTGGAGGGAGGAGTTGGGGAGGCCGACAAGCAATGAGTTTGCATAGTCAAGCTTCGGTGTATTGAAAGCATGTATGAAGGTTTCGGCGGCCTGCGGTATGAGATAGTGTCAGAGCCGGGCGACGTTGAGGAGGTGGGGAAGGCAGAATGGGTCATGGCGTAGATATGGGGTAGAAAGGATAATTGAGGGTCAAACAAGACCCCAAGGTTCTGGACTGGCTTAGAAAGATGGAGTGTGCAACCATGGACGGTGATGCTGTTAGCGCCTGAGGTGAGGAGGCGCTGACGGGGGCCAATCAGGAGAGCCTCGTTCTTGTTGACGTTCAACTGAAGAAAGTTAGCTCTCATCCAGGACTTGATATCTGACAGACATTCTGTCAGCACAGCAGTGGACCTTAGTCTTCTTTCGCAAATTCTTAGGTTCTTAAGTTTGTAGATCTGGACTAAATGAGCACAGACAATCCCCAGCACAAAATTGTCCACACTTTGACACAAGCTGCTGATTTTAGCCAGAAGCATTGCAAGAAATGCTGGGATAAGAAGTAGTGGGGTGTGAGCAGAATCACACTGGTGCTATAAAGTGGGATAATGTAGTGGTTAAGTTTTAAATCAAATATGGGAGGTTGGAGAAGGTTCACTCTGGATCTGACTGTGCATGGCATGTCTGATTCTCGCATTTTGAAAAGTCTTCGAAATCTAAGCGCCACAAAAATTCTGTAAAATTGGGGGGGGTAAAAAAATACTGGATGTTCATAACTTATTTGTAAGGGTTCTTTGCACTGCAGTTGGGATTTGAATTGTAAATTAGGTGAATGCAATTTATTTGGGTTGTGTAAGCCACATGTAAATGCATCTATTATGCGAGTTATGTAACCTTTCAAATTCTGTAATCCTTTCATTGGTTCATTACGTAATCCGGGACATTTGTAATTGCCACTGGACACATATATTTCACACAACTTGCATAATAGACCCTATAGTCGAGGAACAAATCGAAAGTGCGATTTCAATGTTTTATTTTTAAAAAGTTTTGAAATATCCTGAATTAATCATAGTATCCATAGAAAACACACACCGGACAACAGTGGTTTATACAAAACCATTCCAGTTTAGTACAGTTTAACTATCAAATACTTCTGAAGTACATTATGATAAACTCAACATGATTATTTATGTAAATCACTGGTTCCTGGATTGTATTCTGTGCATATGGTTAGTTAATGGAATGATCTATTTCATATATGCAGCAAGATTGTAAAATTTTACTTTTATAAATTGCAGATTTAACATTAACATGAATCCAGCAACAAAAATTGAAGGTTGTTTATGGTAAATAATTGAATCCAGCATGTTTTTATATGAGACTTACGCTTTTGTGTCAAGAAAGGTCTGAAAATATTCTGATGGCAGCTCAGTGTCAGCATAAACTCAACATGCGTTGGATAAACTGGTGATAATTCAACTCCTGTATATTGCTGCACTCAGTAACTCGACGATACCAGTTTCCCCAGGCACATTAATGTTCTGTGGTTTAAAGAAAATTCAAAAGCCATCAAAGGAAATAGGGCCAACCCTTCCTGCAAGTGTGTGAAGTTAATCAAAATAGCTCCTACAGATTTAGTCATTCTTTTCAAAAATAAAACTACCTCCCCCTACATAGAGAGGGTAACCACATTTATGTTTTAAATTGCTTGATAATCATTAAAACATTAGACATTGCAAAATAGAATAATGAGATGCTCTTTAATAAACTTTCCATGTGATATAATTCTTCAAAATTCTGTCTGTCTCACAACACAGCGTGTCCATAAATGTGCAAAGCTGCATCACATGACATAATTTTGTATACCAGGCCAGTATCTCACTCTGTTCCCCGAATTGTTGTACAAAATGGGTGAGATTCATAGAATCCTACAGCACGGAAGGAAGCCATTCAGCCCATCATGCCTATGCCGGCTCTTTGAACGAGCTACCCAATTAGTCGCACTCCCCTGCTGTTTCCCCGTAGCCTTGCGATTTTCTTTTCTATTCAAGTAAATATCCAATTCCAATATCCAATAATAATTTTGAAAATTATCATTGAATCTACTTCCACTACCCTTTCGGGCAAGGGCGTAAAAACAGATCGTAAAAACTCGATGCCTTAAAAAAAAGTCTCATCTCCCCTCTGGTTCTTTTGCCAATTATCTTGAATGTGTGTCCTCTGGTAACCAATCTACCCGTCTGTGGAGACGGTTTCTCTTTACTTACCCTTATCAAAACCCCTCATAATTTGGAACATCTCTATTAAACCTCCCCTTAAAACGTTGCTTTGTGTACAGTTAAATTCTGTCCCATTTCTTATACTGTATGAACCTAATAAACCTCACGACCAGTGATTAGCGCAAAATAACACACTGCAGATTTGTTTTAAATGCCACATGATTTTGCATGAACCTCCAGTACCTAATTATGTGTCCTCCATAGAGAGTTGCAATGTTTAATTGATTCAAATGTGCTTTTGTTTAGCGGTTTGATACCTGTTGATTTTCAATTGTGATCCGATTATCCTTGGCTATCTTATATTTGCTTTACCCATAAGCTAACAGGCACCGTGCTTACATAACTTAATATGGTGGTTTAGATTGCTTTTTAAGAAAAACAGAAAGTAGGGTTGATTCCATCAGAATGATGCATGAAAACAAAATGATGAATCTGCGTTGTAAACATGGGTCAGACTTGCATTCACTGCATGAGTCTAGCCCACAATTATAGCTAAATCCACTAGATCCACATTGGTTTGTGGGACACTACTGTACGCAATTGGCTGCTGCATTTCACCCACAAAATACACAGTCAATTGACGTTACAGTATATTCTGTGAAGCGCTTTGAGCCGTCTTGAAATTGTGATAAGGCGCTATATCAAATGCAAGGACTATTATATGTAGCTAAAAATGGCAATCATTTTGTTGTGTAATAATATAATAATCCTTGTATTTGATATAGCGCCATAGGGCGTCTTCAAGACGTCTCAAAGCTGTTCACAGAATATACTGTAAAGTGAATTGACTATATTTTATCAGCGAAACGCGGCAGCCAAATGTGCACAGCAGGGAACCACAAACAGTCATGGATTGAGTGACCAAATTAATGTTATTTATTTATTTTGAAGGAATTATTATCCCCGGGAAGGCGATCTGCCAATTGACTAACAACCAGGTTCCTACTTACTGCTAAGTAAACAGAGACGTGTGGAGTAAGGAAACTTGCCCAATGCTTTGCCCTGCCTGGGATTCAAACTCTTGCTTGCAAGGCGAGTGCTCTAACCACTGAGCTACAGGACTCCGTTACTATGTTATGGGGAGATCCCATTAAAAACAAACCACAACAAGCTAGGTATTTTTAGTGATTGGTATGTAATCGACTCCACAGTTTTGGATTCTGAAAAGCACAGCAAAAACAATAGAAATCAAACTTTGAGAAGTTATCCATGGAAAAGGTGGTAAGAGGTCCAGTAAAACTCGCATAAGTCGTACCAGTCAGGACTGCAACATTTAACATGACTTGCGCGAAGTCCATATTGCAGGCAACTGTACAAGTCGTATAAAATCCAATTGATCAATAATCTGCACTGCATGTGTAATTCAGTGAGGCTGGTAAGTGCACATGTGGTGACAGGTCATAACTGCATTTCCCACGATTCAATGAGCCTTGACCCAACGCCGCATGTGCACTTTCTGACAAGCATTGAATCGCGGGAAATGAGGTTCTTCTGCCCATGCAGCAATGGATCAAGCCTTTTTAAGTTGTTCTCGGCTGTGGGTGGAGGTGGAATGTTTTGTACACCTCCTGTTTTCCAGCTGCAGATGTTTCACTGTCCAGCATATAGTTCAGTGCTTCCCTTATTTTCAGAAGAAGCTTTTGAAACAATTCTGGAAAATTGAACAGATTTTAGTACTTCATGAAGACAT